ATCATGATATGAAGTTTTATGGTGCTGCTATGACTTTCTATTTTAGTGGAGCAACAATAACAAACTTTCAAGGTATGACATGATCGATACATTCTATATCAGATTTGGCACCATTTCTATATGGTGCCAATTAGATGTCAATAGTCTTTTGGTGAAAACACAATGTCAGACAGCTATTAAAAGCTGGGACCAGCATTTGTGACAAGACTAATAAGTCTTTCAGTGTGACCAGCATTCATGACAAGACTAATAAGTCTTTCAGTGTGACCAGCATTTGTGACAAGACTAATAAGTCTTTCAGTGTGACCAGCATTCATGACAAGACTAATATGTCTTTCAGTTCAACCTTCATTCATGACAAGACTAATACATCTTTCAGTGTGACCAGCATTCATGACAAGACTAGTAAGTCTTTCAGTGCTACCAGCATTCATGACAAGACTAGTAAGTCTTTCAGTGCTACCAGCATTCATGACAAGACTAATATGTCTTTCAGTGCAACCAGTATTCATGACAAGACTAATAAGTCTTTCAGTGTGACCAGCATTCATGACAAGACTAGTAAGTCTTTCAGTGCTACCAGCATTCATGACAAGACTAATAAGTCTTTCAGTGTGACCAGCATTCATGACAAGACTAGTAAGTCTTTCAGTGCAACCAGTATTCATGACAAGACTAATACATCTTTCAGTGTGACCAGCATTCATGACAAGACTAGTAAGTCTTTCAGTGCTACCAGCATTCATGACAAGACTAATATGTCTTTCAGTGCAACCAGTATTCATGACAAGACTAATAAGTCTTTCAGTGTGACCAGCATTCATGACAAGACTAATAAGTCTTTCAGTGTGACCAGCATTTGTGACAAGACTAATAAGTCTTTCAGTGTGACCAGCATTCATGACAAGACTAATATGTCTTTCAGTGTGACCAGCATTCATGACAAGAAAACACCATGTTGATATGACTATTCATTCTGGACAGTATTTAAGATGGCACTGTGACAGGCACACTGGAATAGCCAGATTGCACAATTAGACCCAATATTAATATAACTATCTATTCTGGAATAGCAATAACAGTATTTCAAGATTGTTGTTGTCATGCCCATATTAGTCATCAGACTGACACCATTTTCATTTTGGACCAACTATAAAACAAAAACTGAAAACCCAATATTAGTCTTTATTCAGGATATTAGGAGTGACCATATTTTCAAGATGGCCACAGTAGTGGGCATATTGAAATTCAAATCAGCATAATTTTCATTTTGAATGAGTTATATATAAGAAATCTTAATGACAGCCTCATATTAATATGACTGTTCATTCAGGGGAAGTAATTATATTTAATAAGCATGCATTTTTATCAACAGTCATCATTGATCACAAATCCATCTGACAAACAGTAGGAATTTAAAATTATTATGGACAACAGTTACTTCAAAACAGACACCATAAAGTCTTCAGTGAAATTCTCAATAATATATTACTGATTCAATAAAAAGATTTACAAGATGGCAAAAGATTCAGCCATATTGGATATCAGATCGTTCCAGTTTTCATTTTTGTAGACCATGTGATGAGTGTGCAAAAAGAGTGTGTGTTTAAAAGCAATCCTCAAAGTAGTTTCTTCATATTAGTGGTAATAAACTTGTGCTAATGGATGAATGACAGGTGATTGACAGCAACAGACCATACCATAAGCTCTTCAGGTCTGTGACCATTTGAGGTAAAAATGAGTACAAACAAAAATGATAAACAAAAGAACTGAATCTCATCAAGACTGGGATCAATCATTCTAGAATAAATTTTCTTTAGTATTTTCTCAATTTAAATAGAAATTGTCCTGCACAGTTGCAATATACTTAGTAGGTTCAACAGGTACTAGTACTGCCCCTCCCTTTACATAAAGGTAATCAGGTCGCATACTCTTTTATGAAAATCTGAATTATCCAAGTAGAATCTTGCTATATAAACAACTCTTCAAAAAGGAAAGAAATTAAACCAAGTTATAATTGTTGCAAGTATTGCACCCTAAGCATATGGAGCAACATGCTACTGTTTGTAAACACAGTGCATTAATACAAATATATTTTAAAGAGGGCAGTGGGGTGACCTGTAGATACTTAGTACACAAGTTCTATGCATGAGAACATAGAAACACAAAATACATTTGATATTGTTACTGTATTATCACACTTAATCAATGGATGTCATGTGAAATAAACATTAATTTTTTTATACAGTTAACTTTTAACTTTCATCAGTTCTAATTTGGAAAAAGTTCTATGATAGCCAATGCTATGATACAAGACTGAAGAGATTTCTAATTCATGATATTCTTGGAAACATTTTTTTTTCTGTCCTGGAAATATGACAAGTGTTGCTATTACTAGTGCAATGATATGCTACATGGAAGAACATTTGGACTGATGAATGAACCACTCTGATTGGTAAGTGAAGGAGTTTTCATTTACAATTGCATTAAGTTTGATATAAAGTCTGGGGTAGATTGTTGAGGTTGTTTGACAAATAACACAGTTCAGACACAACACATTTTTGGTTGCTGCCAGCATTGCAGCAGCACTTGAGAGAGTTTGGACCTTTTAGTAGCCAGTGATGTGTATAGCCCATTTATATGTTTTGTTTCTAGCATAAATGATATTATCTCACGTGATATGTTGACAAGTCAAACTTGGCAAGCTTGTTTTCACAGCCTTTTGTTCATTAAAGCACTTAGTTTTCTTGCTCCAACTTGTGCCAGTAAAAACCCATTGCTTGTTTGACCGAAATGTATCACATGGGTTACATGAGCAAGTCAAAATGTATGATCAGGTCACGCTATGCAAGTTCTTATAACATTTGTAGATACAGGACACATATCTGGAATAGAGAGTTTGTGTACAATCTTGGCTTTTCATTGCATGTATTTCCTACATCCTCCCATGTCCTTGAGTTCACTTCTCATTAAACTTGGAATATTCTAAATTTAGCTGTCACACACTTGATGTTTCTGTGTTTTCACCCCCTCCCTCCTCTCCCATACCTCTTAGTACAAAGTGTTTACTAAAATTGATAACTGTGTTGGGATTCAATCAATTTAACATGTAATTAGAACCGTCTTTGTAGCTTTGGGTTATATTATAAGCTTTCATGTTTGACCTCTACCAAATAGCTCAACTTCATTTGCATGTCTGTCATTCAAATTGTTTTGTAAGGTTATTCATCAAAGTCTGAGAGACCTTGCTTTAAGAGTGAATTTTTTGTTTTGTTTTATTATTGTTTGATTTTATAACAGACACAACAGAAGACAACATAGGTTTCTTCTTTTTAAAGGCAGTTCATATTGTGACTGTCACAAGTGGGCTAAGACACCAGACTGAGATAAGAAAAGTAAGGTTAGCAAATTGGTTAAGATTTCTCTGTTGCATGGGTGAGAATAGAGGAAGATTTTAATTATACAGTCAAACCTGACCTAAAAGTCACCTTTACTCAGCAATCATTTATTTATAATGGCCATTTTAATTTCCCTCAAGCAAATTTCCTATGCAAACATATCTTACCTTGCTTTATTATATGTACTCCAATCATATTGATTGTGCAACTCAAAGGTGTCCCTATGTGAAATTCTAATCCAAGGCCATTTTTAATATTATCTGGCTTAAGGGTAGAAGAAATTTGTTTGCTGGATTGTGGGAAAATTAGTTGTTATCATGGTGGCGCTCACCAGTTATTGTGTACTTTTGAGAGAGTGATGTATGTAAGGTGAAGTTGTTTGCAATTTAAACATGCATAGTGGAGAGAATGTTGGCATACCTATATACTACTTTCATGTAATGTGACTGAAATTTCTTTGGATATTGTACTTTTGAAAATTTTAAATGATCTTAGGACACTGCAAACTAAAATGACTGCTTCCTTGTACTCCAAAAATCAACCTGAATTTGTCTAAAGTACACTATTCTTGGCAGCTATTAAAATATGGAAAATGAATTTTGCCAAACTAGACAATACCAGCTTCTAAAAGTGCAATGACTGAATTACCAAATACATAAAATGTAAAAAAAGTTATTGGCTTTTATTTTTACAATTTACCTCTGAAGTTCCAGAAGTGAAAATAAGCAAGTAGAGCTAGCACCTTTTTGAAAGGTGCACATCTGGAGTAAGGCCAAGCTGTATACTCTCTAACCCATATTACACCCATCCATCATACATCAAAATTAAGGGAATTAAAGGTTTTTGAACAATACCTAAGATATACAAAGTCTCTTTTAAATAGCCAGTATAACTAGTGAGGAAACCAGGGGGAACTCTTTTTCTTTAAAATTTTAACCCTATGCTAAATATGAAACTGTAGAGCGCCACCTTAAAAACAAATATAAACATTTATGAAATTTTTTTTCTTATTTCATATTATTATGTATGATGTTCTGAGTAAAATGGTACATCAACATTGATTTTATTCATGAAAATAAGCTAGTTATGCTCATTTTGCTCTAAGAGCGCCACCCATAGCAAAAATGAAAGTCACGTTTTGAGTTACATCCCTTTACAATTGGGTCAGTGGTTATATAATGGTTAAAACTTCTCTGTTAAGGCAGCTCAAGTTTCAGATCATGGGTCATATACAGCGCTTCTTCTGATTTCATATTCATCAAAGGCTTCTCAGAAAAGAGGCAAGCTGAAGAATCCACGAGTGTTACAGATTTCAAGTCAATGTTCATTTAATTTACAGATGTATTAAAGTGAACAGGTGTGTGTGTGATTTAGATTTTTAATGTAGCTTTAAAACATTTTCAGTCATATCGCTACAATATCTGCAGTGTGGCAGTTTATAGTGATGTCTAGCTTTGGGGGCATCATGCCACAGACATGATGCATGATGTCTCACCAAGTCATAGTAACTTGACACCTGGCCCACCAGTCCTAACACTAACCTTTTAATGCTGAGCGCCAAGCGAGACAGCTGTTAGTACCATTTTTGTAAAGTCTTTGGTATGACTCTGCTGGGAATCAAACCCACAACCTCCTGTATCAGAGTCAGATGCTCTAACCACTAGGCCACTGGAGCGGTCTAATGAACAAAATACACTAATCTTGTGTGGATTAAAAGTTTGGGAGAAAACAACATATATGCATTATTGTGCACTGGACATAAACAATCTTGATAATGCAATAATAATAATAATAATAATAATAATAATAATAATAATAATAATAATAATAATAATAATAATAATAATACTTATGTCCATGTTATTTGTTTAAAAACCTTGCTTGCAGAGGTCACCTGTGTGCAGCTGTCAGTTTTGCCTTTTCCCATGAGTGACTGCTATTGATAGGTCAAGAGCTTACATACAAAAAATAAATGTACTGTAAAGGTGTTGGGAGTGGATAACAAATGCTTACATGACCTAAATAAAAAAGACACCACTGGTTATTTAGCTATTTATTTTTCTGTTTCATAAAATATAAGTAAATGAATGTTTGATCTTTACGAAAATTATTTTTTAATTTACACAGCATAGTTCCAATGAAATGTCTATTGCAGAAAATGTGTTTTTAAACATGTGAAAACAAAACTCACTAACTGAACTTTACAAATCACATAATCCAGAAACATTCTATAAAAATGTCTCTCACAAAGAGAAAAACAAAAATGTTCATCCAAAACAAAAAATAATATCTTCATATAGAGCACTAAGTATGAACAAATATGTTCAAAACATTTGCTTAAAATCAAAGTTGGAAATGTATCAGTAACAAAAGTCAACAATTTTTCATAAAAATACTTATTTTTAACTGTAAACATTTGATTATACAAAGTCAGAAACTTTCAAAGTTTCCCTACTGCAATGGTGCTGTAAATGTGTTAACTAGGACAACTATAAAATCCCCACCCACCCCTGAAAAAAAGCACAACAATATTTCAACATACAAAATTATTATACTTGACAACCAACCATGTTTTAAACTCTTTGTCTTGTATAAAATAATGTTTCTGAGAATAATTTATTTGTGCAGATATGCTTTGGTAAAAATAAAATCAAAGTACTCTGAATACCAGACAACACCTTCAAAATGTTTGGAAACAGCAAATAGAACACAATATTGAAAAAAGAATAAATTGATACAGCATTGTATATAACAGTATCTTAAACTCTGAAATAATGCCCTAATTCAATGGTTGTAGAAGGAAGACTTCTCCAATTACTGACCCAACTAAACATAAATACCACACAAGACATCAGAACATTCTGAATAAAGGATCAGTGTTTCTGACCACATGTAAATTTCAAATGTTATTCCGATTTTGCTTTATCTTCATGTACAACGAATATACAACCTCTACATGTGAAAATGAAGCACCAAAAACGAATATTGAATAATTGGATGATTAGACTCTTAATACCACAAGACATGCACCATACAAAATAATCTTTGACGTTCTATGATTGTTACGGATGACTATGAACTTCAAATTTATCTTTGATCTTTGGTTGTATTATAAGTTAATATATAGAAGTATAATCAAAGGAGCAATTAGTACAACAAAAAACACAGACCCTGATCTGCTGGCACATTATGCAGTGGCAGATATGATTCTGTGTAGTTTGCAGTTCAACTGATTTATAAGCGAGTATATACAGTAGCAAGTGTCCCTCTTTCTTAAGAATATACTTCAAGTCAGGCAAGGTTAATAATGTTATGTAATTGTATCTGGGAATTTTCAAAGAGTTTCGTATAAAGACAACCAAATGTGATTGTCTTCATGCTTTTATGAAAAAGGACTTCTTTGAACCAAATCCCAAGTCTTTATTCTAAGAAAATGACTATAATTAGAATATATCAGATTCAGACATAGTGTTCATTAACATGTTTCATCAATAACTATAAATGTGTCTTACTTTTGACAACGGGTTCATTAACATGTTTCATCTGTAACTTTAAACTTGTCTTACACAGAGTTCATTAACATGCAAGTTATGGAAGTGTGCTGACTTAATTTCATGCAACTTGTTTAATACAATGATGAAATAGAAATATTGTGAAATCTAATTTCTTTAATTAGCTTCTTCATAGACTTCGCAAGTTTCAACCATTTTTAAGCAAGTTTACATATACTTGGATCTGGGGAAAACAAGATCTTTCATACATTGATTTTTCAAAAAAAAAGAATAATTAGCAGTTCAAGAGTACATCTCCACATGTTGATGAAAATAAAAATATAAAACCAATCTAGATGATCCCCATATGAAAGGTTGTCTCCCTTGGTCAGAATGCCATGTAAATGCAACACAAAGGGCAACTTGGTATACCCTACACGGCAGCACAATAGCACCACACATTTTCTTATTCTGTTCACTAGAATTGCAATTTTCAGAAGCTAAGATAGTGGTTGAAACAGTATTAAATGATAACTATGACTTTTATTCTAATTGCCAGGTTAACTTAAAAAAGCCATGATGGTTTAGTTTGGTGTTTTACAGCACTGCCAGACAAGCAACCGAAGTGCCTTGCTCAAGGACACACCAGAAGTGGCTGATCTGATTCACACACCCTGTCCTATTGTGATGCTGTCAAGCTGACCACAGAGCTAACATGGCTTACAGTTAACATCAAGAAACAACAATCTTTTTAATGACAAATGTCTTTGAAAAGATTTTTTTAAAATTTTGTTGTTCAAATACAATTTCAAGTTTGATGTACAGTTCTTAAATTGTTTGACTTAGGTATACAGGAATGTCTCTATTTGAGGTCATTTCATTAAAATTGATTTGGTTTTAAACAGTTCTTTTTTTCAAAAGTAAAAGCAAATGTCTACTAAAATGTATTTTGCAGGTAGTAGCTTTTGTAACAAATTATATTTTCATGTGCTTTTGGAAGATTAATATTTTTTAAAAACAACTTAACTGCATATATTGGTTTAATTGACAAAGCACAACCAATGTAACTATTTAGAAAATTCCAAACTTTTAATAATAGAACTCTAGTTTGTGTGTCACAAATCATTTGAAATGTAAAATTTTAAAGTCATTAAAGCTGTAGTAAAACTGTATTTGCTTTATTTGGTTCATCTTTTGGAAAATTAGATTTGTAATTGTAAAACACATGTCCCAAAACACACTCAAATTACTAGGTCAAAAGTGTTAAAAAAGTTGCTATAATGACACAAACATAAACTCATCAACATATACATACAAAATGTGCATACAGATTTTCATTTGTTAATGTAAGTAGTTTTTTTAAATATTTTACTAAGGAGGTTTTGGTTGTAAAACATGTAGACCAAAAGGTTCAAGGTTCAAGTCTCAAAAGTTCCAAAATATGAAAACAAAATTGAAAAAAATGCTGTAATATCCTTAAAGTTCTATCGAGATATGTATATAATGCATCCAGTTTAATAATATGCTGTACAATTTCATTATTCCTCACTGAGTGATTACTGAGTAATCTAGTAAACAAGAATTTTGGGATGGATTGATGGACAGGACCAAATAAAAATTCCTCCCCTGTAAGTTGTAGGTATATAATAAAATGGCTTTCAAATGAAGAAGTTGTCTGGATGCTCCAACTATACACTTTCATAGCAATTGTTTAAATATAGGCAAAACTCCCATGTATACTTCTCTTTTAACTGAAGAGATTTGTTCCATGCTCTGCAAACAAGAATTTTTGTTTTCTGCTCAAATTTTTAAAAGAAGGTAAGACATGAGTCTGATGACCCAGGCCAAAATGTGATTGCAAATAGAAGGGGTCTACTATTTTCTCAGGTATACATTTAAACATCTGAAAAATAAAGTAAAATAAAGTAGACTGTGAAGCAAATCCTGCTTATAAACAATACATTTACAGATTTCTACTGGTCAAGCTTGCAGCTAGCTGCACTAAATAAACCAGAATCAATTAGAATTACCATCAATGATAAGTGTGATTGAAATGTAGATTTTGAAAGTGACTGTAATTAAATAAATGTCCATAAAATATAGGAGTGCTTATAATGATTTGATAACCAAAAATTATCATGATGATGAATGCAATGATGGAATATAATGTTATAAATGATTTTTGTTCATCAAGATGATTACTTATGACTGTGATCGTTACAGTAATAATTATTATGTATTTCAAAATGATGACATCTGGGATGATCCATACTTTTCTATGACAAAAGAATACAGCACAAAGTGAAATTCTCTGAGATTGCACAATTCAGTGGAAATAGCATCCATGTTCTGCACGAAATATTGCTGCTTACATCTGGGATCAATAACATAACATGCTGTTAGAAGTGATCCACTAACACAGACACACTATTTTTACCCACACGACCTTGACCACTGCCATCATTTCCTGCCAGATTGAAATTCTGCCACTTTGTGGGATGACCTTTTAAAAGAAAAGAGAAAAAAATGTATAAAATAACTGAAAATAGGGTTAATATATTCAGACTTTGTTTACACTTCATCATATTCAAAACGTATCTTTTGGTAGTTACTGATATTAAACTTTTACTGCAATAGTCAAGAACAAAGAGTCTTTCAAAGGGCTAGAAATTCGTTTTTGCTCTATTGTGTAGCATGATGTCCCACCCTGTCACATTATCCTGACACCAGACCAACCAGTCCTAACATTAACCTGTTAATACTGAGCAACTATTCAGGCAGCTGTTAGTACCATTTTCATAAGTTTTTGGTATTACTCAGCCAGGGTTTGAGCCCATGACCCCTACTGCATCCGAGGCTGAAGCTTTAACCACTAGGTAACCAGAGTGGTCATCAGCTTGGCACCATTTTCATTTAAGTATATTTAGTTATAAGCCTTTTGGTGAAAACCTCCATGACATAATGATAATACATTTGGGGGGAGTTGTGACAACAGGATTTTTAAGACAGACTTTGTGGCAGCCATATTGGATGTATCACTGGCACTCTTTTCAATTATTACAAGTGAGGTATAATAAGAAGTCTATTGGTGAAAACCCTATCTTGACACAGACATCTATTAGGAGAGTAGAGATAACAGTATTTTCAAGATACAATTTTCCATTCTGGATGAACAGCAATAACAAGAT